TTATATAAACTAAAAATTTGAGTTATATAATATAACAAAGTACATAATATGAGGATAAAATTTTACCAGGAGCCATTTTATGGTGATTAGCCACAGCAGATAAACGTCCAAAATCACCTTGTGCTCGCCTAAATAGTCTCATTTCACCCGTCAATTTACTTCTTAAATCGGGTTGACCGTAAGCATATCTCTCAATTACATCTAAAAGTCCCGAGATAGTTTGTTTATAATTTTCCATATCAAGATTATTATATTGAAATTTAGGGTTTAACCAATATCCAACAGCATGAAGATTCTCATGCAATTGACTATCCCATAGGTTTTCAATAATTTGCAAATAAGGAGCAATTCTATTTTTCCTTCTTTGAAATCTACGTTTCATCGGTCTTTTTGCCACATGAATAGCTTTATACAAGTAGCCCATTGAAGGCTTTTCGTCACTATCAACAATGCGTAGAACACAAACAAAGGGCTCAGTAAGTTGCACAACAGTAGCACACTCTTTCCAAAATACTGGATCAAGTACATCATCAACGAATCTTTTTTCTTTACTTTCTTTTGCATATGCTGATAATGTCCACTTTCTAGATGTTACCATTGCTCTTAATGGATCCTTTTGGATCAAAATGCTTTGTAAAGCAATAAAATTGGTGGCAAAATGAGTGGGAGCAGGTCGAAGTATTTCTTTTCCTCCTGTAAACTTTCTCATCAAATGCAATGGGTAACAATGATTGTATATGTATTTTGTGATTTTTAATGCCTGAGATACGACATTACTAACTTCATCAAGCTTACCAATATCATGAAACATTAGATTAATGCAATGGGCTGCACATGGAGAACAAAATAATGTCTGAAACTCTTGTTCCAATAACCTACCAGCGGCAACATAATTTGCAGCATTGTCTGTCACCATATGGACCACATATTCCGAACCTACAAATAACACAACATCTCAAAATAATTTGTACAACATGTCAGCAGATTTTGATTCATTTGAAGCATCTACGGATTTTAAGAATATTGTTCCTTTTGGATAATAAACTAAAAAATTAATGAGTTCTTCTAAATTGATCTGTCCAACCGTCTGCCACAATTGTACAACCTGTAGCCTTCCATATTGAATGATAGCTTTCAATGTAATTCTGCACCTCCTTGACATTTTTAGCCAACAAATAACCTCGAAGACTGTGAAAGTTTGGA